ATCTTGTGTCCAGCAGGAAAACACATTTTTGCATATTCAGAGATTCTGGAATTTTTAATGAGGTAGAAGGAGTAGATGTCTTTTTAAGGATTTTAATATGGAAAATATATATATAATATATTTTTTGCAGATAAAACATATCAGATAGGCATTATTGTTCCAAGCAGACTATCTGCATGTATCTTGATACATGTCTGAAGGGACTACAATACACATATGATAATATTGTGTAAAAGTAAAGTGCTCTTTAATAATTTTAATTTCTTTCCGTTGTCTTTTTGTGGTTCACACTCAGTGTAATTGTTCTTGTTGTTACACTTTTGTACAGTTTTTTTTCACAGACTCTTTCTCCTGCAATTCAATTGCCAAAAAGGATATATAAAAAATAAGGCAAATTTACATATAGCATTTTCATTTTCATAGATATCGCAATTAGTGTGAATTCTTTTGGCCATGATAATCATGTAGTGAAAATCTGTTTTGTGACAGCACTACTTTAAATATAGAAAAAGCTCTGTTCTCACTCTGTTAGTCAGCATGCTCTCTCGCCGTGGATTTACCTCATCTGTCTCGCCCATCCCTCCTGCGCCCCTTCACTGTCTCTTTCTCACTCTCATTCATTCCTGCTCTCTCTCCACTTCACTATCTTTCTGTTCATTTCTCTCTCACCCTCTGTCTGTCTGTCTGTCTGTCTGTCTACAGCAGCTGGCTCTTGTCTGTTTGTCCCTCTAGGTTACCAGTGATGTAATCAAACAGGACGAAGCCATAGGCTGGCTCTGACATTAGCTGACACCAATCAGAGGGAGAGAGACAGGGAGAGGGAGAGAAAGAAAGGTAAAGCAGGTAAGAGTAGGCAAGGAGCTGATGAGAAAAGCTGTGGGAGTCTTAACGTTGTCTTTCTGAACAGGCCAAACAGCTGCTCTGATTGTTTTATACAATATAACATTTGGTTTCCATTAGATTTCCCAATGATTCAAATCAATAAATACATTGATATGACTGGTAGAGGGCAATGATTGTCATCTTACCCTGTAGTTAACCTTCTGTAGGACCTGCTGGGGGTCACTCTCCAGAATCACCCTGGCAACAGGATAAAGCAACCAATCAGTACAGCACAAGCAGGACTAGGAGGATTTATGGGATTCTTTTCTGACATTTTATAGACTAAACAGCTAAGGTAGCTCATGTGTAAGATAGTTTGAATGGACAGTAAAATTACACAAGGTTTTTGTAATGTGTTTGTGTTTCAGTTGCTTTTATAAATGGAACATTTGCACATTACATACATTCTTTAACTCGAATCAGCTGTAAACGTTATTTCTCTCTTACCCTCCATCAATGATTTCATCCACAACCAGGAACACTCCTTCCATGTTGTCCAGTAAACACCTACGCTCCACATTTTTCCTGCAGAAAAAAACAATTAGCCACACTCAGTCCATAATACTCTGGATCCCCTTGAATATCATATTTAATTTCAAACATTTTGATCATTCTCCCAAGGAAAGGAACAGTTCAACATTTTTGGAAAATCCAGTTATTGGCTTTCTTGGGACGGATTAGATGAAAACATCCATGCTGGAGCCAGGAGACGGCTAGCTTAGCTTAGCAAAAAGACTGGAAGGAGGGGGAATAGCTAGTCTGGCTCTTCTATCTGTAAAAATGACTACTTGTGGTTTTAGTGGAGGTTGGTGGAACTACAGTGGCACTATTTCTTGAGGAACAATAGTTAACCGATCCACAAAGTCCATTCATCATATCCTCCATTATAAAAATCTAATTCTTCTGTTCTACTTTAACAGATCTAATTAGCAGGACACAACAACACCAAATGGAACTTTGAATACAATGATACAGTATTTGTGTAACAACATTATTAACAGGCCTGCATGGAGACTACTTACTATTCTAGTTTAAAATAAATGACGAGACCAGTAAACAGTTTTTTTGATTTTACACTGTAATTCTACATTCTGGACATTTACATATTGAACTGTGCAACCTAGAATAACCTATAATCTTTCATACTGTATAATAATATTATCTCTCAGTGTCTCTGTCGCTTACACTCTGCATTACTGCATCGGTTACCATAGCAACCACATCAAGCCACTGTTTGGCTGATAATGTTGCAGTCAACAGTGAGGCATCCTGGTGTGCAACACACACACACACACACACACACACAGATGGCTTTGCAAACTCATCTTGGCATTTTCTAAAATCTAAAATGTAAAAATGAGAACTAGGTGTCATATTGTCGTCATTCAGCTGAGTTGTTTGTCAAACATTCTTCTAATTATATCATGAATGTCTTTCAGGTAAAAAATACACACTGCTGTTGACTTTTACATCAAATTCAACAGAGAGACCCATTATGTCCCTAAGAGGCTGTGGTGGAGGGATGGCAATGTTAGTGTGGAGATTAGCATTGATGATGCTGAGACTACATGCATGAGAATGCCTCAATATCATGACAGTGCATGTGCATGAAGAAATGTAGGTGATAAATGCAGGCTTGACACCTTCGATTGGTTGATCGATACGCTCTTTCTCAATCTCATTGGTCAGACAATCCCTGGTGTCACTTCAATGAGCAAAAAGCACTCCTTAATCCATTATTTTCAGGGGCGGGAGGGACACATGTAGACCTGCTGTATTTTAGTTTTTTGGGTGGTAGACTACGTTGTAAGACATAATTGATTATGTATGAAAATAATATTTAAATATGTTTTACTCAACAACTATTTTTATAATGGTTTTATAATCATATGGTTTAATAGACAACACTGTAAGTCAGGAAGTCAAAACACCCCTGTCTTCACAACTTTATTTGGCAGCCTGGAGACTGCAGAACTTAACTTCCTGAACATTTAGGCATCCCCAAACTAACTGACACAATGTCCTCTACATTGTGTCAAAAAACCTCTACATTGGCCCCCAGCGTCAGAGGACAGAAGAGCGGAATGGATAAAGTTTATTTTTGATGTGTGTGTGTGTGTATGTGTGTGCATTTTACTACTGTTAAGGCTCAATGATGGATTGATTACATTACTGGCTGACCGTGACCCGACCTCAAACCTGAGAAAAAAAAGTTTTGCCATTTTTTTTATGGCTTTTAGTGTTTATTGTGTTGTTTAGCCTGCTGAACTTTGCTTGAGCATGTTGCTAAGTGGCTACTGCCTCAGGCCGTGGGCTTTTGGTAATACTGAGGGACAGTTGTGAGAGCAGTGTGTTTTTTGATGATGATGATGATGTTTTTCACGTTGTTTTTTCCGGAGCGGTTTCGCTTTATACTGCGTAAGCTTTGTTTTGCTATGTATCTGTGTGTTTGTATGTTCCTGCCGTATGTAAATTGACTTTATAGACAAAGCCATTAAGGTAACGATTTAGCTACGTGTGAATACCAAATGGCTAAAGTGCAGGAATTCATTTTCTTGGCAATATTGTGTAGCTTTGATTAGCAAAGCAAAATTTTCTTTGGTCGACTACAGCCCCAGAAAATTGTTATTGTCACTCCAGCAACATGACTGAAGCTGTCAGATAGTACATTTCTGTGTAAGATGTCTCTTATTTTTGTCAATTTTTCAATATCCTGAATGCATCAAATAATTCACGTTGTCTATGATGTAACATTTGGCTTGATGACTTGATGAGAGAACGTACCTGAGGATCTGACTGAGAGACTCAAACAGGCAGTTCAGTACCGACATCAGCATCAGCTGCAAAGAGAGAATAAAAACAAGAAACAGGAGGACAATTTTGAGATAACAAAGCTCGATCTTAAAGGTGGATTACTTCATTTACTCAGTTCAAGAGCAAGCTAAAAACTTGATATGGCAAACGTGTTAGCAAACTATAAAGTTCTGCAGGGATGACGTCTTTTCTTAGGCCAACTCGGAAGACAGCCTCGTCCTTGACAAAAAGCCAAAGGTTTTTTTTCGTTGGATTTGGATTGCTGCAGAAAATGAGCTCTGTGGCACCTAAAATAATTTTATTTGATCATTGTCTGTAAAAAATATTGGTTTTACAGAGAAAACTAAATTTACCTCGTTCTCCTGAGCACTTCCCACCACGTAGAAGAAGAGATCTATACTGCCTTTATAGACAATGGTCATCCCTTCCAAGAAAGCTATCTCATCTACAGAGAGAAGAAGAGAGGGATGGGTTAGGTATTTGAAAAAGGACAGGCAACTCTTTTTTACATTTTATTTCACCTAGGCAGGATCCAAAAATACATTTAATGGAAGATTTATAACAAGCTCCATTTATTCAGGGAGGCTAGAGGAAAAGAAGGGGAAAAGATGGGGTAGAAAATGAGCAGGAAAAAGAAGGTAGAAGTTGTAGAAAGGGGATAGAGGGGGGGAGGAGACAAGGAAGGGTGAGAGAAATGGAGGGAGTAATGGGATGCTTTAAGGAAGGGGAGAGCAGGACAAAGGAAGGATGAGTTGGGAGGGAAGGAGAAGGGATATAGCATGACATGGGAGAAGAAAGAGATGAAAAAAGAGAGGAATGCAGGAGGAGTTTAGAACAAAAGGAGGAATATACTGGGTGGGTGATACAGAGAACAAGGCCAGAGACTCAGGTGTCAGCTGTGTGAAATCCTACTAAACCCTGAAAATGAAACTGCAAGTGTCCATCTGGTTTCACTCAACAGACAAATACCTGTAGCATTGGTTTAAAAGCTAGCAGAAGACCCAAAAGTCACAATTTTCCTGATTTTAAAGGTTCACACTAACTAAGGCTACTGTAAAAAAAACGATTTAGGCTAGTATCATGTGTGTTTGGCTGCTAGACAGTAGAATGTGTAACAGATGACATTGGAGACGTGTGTGAGTGTTCAGTACAATACGCAGGGAGGGCCACATCCAGCACACACAAGAACAGAGAAAGAGAGGAACCTACTGTCTGCTTTGTGTGTCTTGTTGAAGACATTCTTCTCAAAGTTTTTCTGTTCCTTCATGGAGGGGTAAAGCTCACGGTCATAGTACTGAAACAGACACATACAGCACATGAAGCACTGAATGAACTTTGGCACACAACCTGCTGGGTTAAGGGTTTCATTCTCTTTGGGAGTAGTCCCTCTAAACATATAAGAACGGATGTATGTAGGTGCAGATATGCAAAATGTACTAGGGGACTATACCAGTAGTTTTGCATGTTTTAGTCCATTAAAGTTATAATCCTCACTATTTAATGTTTTTTTCATGTTTTTGATACCATTTATGGTCTGTGTTATAAGAGAAATAGCTGTTCAGTGTATTTACATTCTGTAATGACAGTAAGGATTGTCCACTTGCTCGGGGCAGTGAAATGCCACTTTGGGCAACTCACTTGCCCAATCAGGAAAGTGGTAAAAGGTCATCTCCCTTCCTTCACATCTGTGTTGCACATGCTCAGTACTGATGGGGCACTCACGAGAAAATGGCAGCAGGTAAAGATGAGCGGAAGCACAAGCGGGCATTTCAGTTATCCTGGAAACAGGAGTTTAGTTTGGTGCCATTACGGAAACTCCAGCTATGGATTTCCATGAGCCGTTTTTATCTACACAAGCCGCAACTCAAGTTCCATGGAGTCTACCAGGTAGCCCAGAACAGACAAACCCAATTCTGTCTCTCTTGCGTTTTTCGTGGCAGCCGTGGTTTCTCCTACACACTTCAGTGTCAGTTCTCATTCCCAGGTCGTTGGATACAGACGGCAGCAGTGGCAATCTGCAACTTCACCACTAGATGCCACTATATCGTGAGTGCAATGGTAAATCTGCAGAGTGCTCTTTCCAACATTTGCTACTGCCGCTGCTTCACATATTTAGAATTAAACTGGCAAAACACAGGCTGGCTTTCATTCACCTCAGATTGTGTTAGATTTGGACAAAGCCAAACTTGCTGATTTCCTTGTTTGCTGCTGGTAGTGGATTCATATTTACTGTATGGACATGAGAGTGGAATCAATTCTCTAATCTAACTCTCTGTGAAAAAACAATATAACGAAATTCCCAAAATGTCGACTATTCCTTAAAGAGGAATTATGAAAAACACCTTTCACTGAGGGTTTACAATTTGAATCCCCTATAGGAAAAAAATAGGTAAGGCTAGGTAATCCACATATCAAATACTTTGGGGTTTAAGGACTACTAACAAATGCAAACTACATGTTAAGCTTTACATTGAATGAAATTAAACTTGTGTTTTGTATACTTTGGAAGGTCTGCAGTGCAGTAAGATATTGGTATTTAATGGCCTTAATGTAAGAACACTGGTAAGGCCCTTTAACCTTACCTTTGACAGAAGTCTGTTGCCATCATTGTCAAGGATGAAAACAGCTTTCACTGTGTAGAGGGAAGGTTCCTGCAACAATAAACACAGAGAACGTCTTAAATATTTTAGCTTTGCTGAGTCACCTCAGGGAAACATCGAGGACTGGGAGAGGTCTGCTTCATAATGCCACAGCTAACAGGCTCAGCCATTCCTCCCACACCTGGCCAGCGTAGAGTATCAACCTTTATTATCCAGATAAAGCCTGCTTTCCCAGCAACACCCTACTTTACATTCACTCTGGTCCACACATTCGCACACACCCAGTCCAGCCACTTTCTACACTGGACCCCAGACTGCATTTGTAGTTTCTTTTATCTCTGCAGAATTTAATTCTGTTTCATTCTCCTGGTGTGGAAATAGCCAAAGATCTTGACCATCCTCCTGCACACACTTCACTCATCCATCCAGCTGTCCTTCTGAAGAGTTTTCAGACCCGGGGCAAAGTTCTGTTATGCACTGACTAGCATAGATTCACAGTCAGAGTGTATCACAGAACTTAGACCAGGAACTTACAACATCCAGTGTCCAGTGTTGGGAGGAGGAAAATGTATTTGGAGGGTGTCTCAGGCAATATACTGGTCTGTTATTGGCTTAACTTGAAGGGACGGTGTTCTTTTGGACCCATGGGTGCTATAATTGAAGCCATTTTTTCTTTTTTTGGAACAACCTAATTTCTATATGGTGTGTCTAAGTTAGTATGGTGTTATGCTTAAAAAGCACACTGACTGGACTTGGAAGTAGCACTCTGGAGCTAAGGTTTTACATGTGGGCCCCTGTTTTGTTTGCTCTTGTGCACACACACAAGGACACACATGCATGCAAGTGAGCACACTGCCGATAGTTGGCGCGCCAACATAGGTTCAGAGAGTTGTGTACCAGTTACAGCTAGCAGTTAGTAGATCTAACTAAAGTGAGAACTAATTAGTGTTAGTGGTGCAACCTGTTTAAATTAAGTAATGCTTGAATTCTCTCTCAGTAAACACTATGAGACTAAGTTTGAATTTCCAAACAGCTGGTGCAACCGGCTGTTGATCCCCGGTCCTGCCCTGTCCTTAGGGGAGCAGCTCTTTACATAACATGATGGATGATGATGAACACACTACACTAAAATGTCTTAACAGCTTAAAGGCTAATGTGTAAATCAACAGCATAATGGCTAATATATGAATGTAACTGCATACTGTAATTGTCACATAATTGGGAATAACTGGGGGAATTAGAATGGATTGTCCACTGTTTGTGTTCCCTGCACACTGAAACTAATATTAAGAACTGATAATCATTAAGTCAAATAGACCACATGCCCAACAACAGCCTCAGCCTCAGTTAAAGTGCAAATGTCAAATGTAAGTTACTCTGGATCAAGATGACAGCTAAATGCATAAGATGGAAAAGTTGGCTGTTTGGCTTAAACACAATGATTTTCTCTAGTGTGCATGTTTAAAAGTAGGTCATAGATTCAGACAAAACCAGAGGACCAATTTAGATGTCTGGAGACGGTTCGCTAAAAACAACATCAAGGCTTCTTGCAATTTGGTCTTGGCAGTTGTCTAAACTGCAATTTTCATTTACTTTTTGATTTTTTACCACATTATGGACACAATATACAAACGGACAATCTATGCATTCAGCTGGTGCTGTGATACAGAGTAGCTGACAATAGCTGAGACCTTTCAGTTTTTCTAACAATGACCTCCATAAAAAAAATATTACCTGAAGAAAAAATGACTTTCAGACTATTAATTTTGCTTCCATCTGTTTTGCTAAACAGAACCAGATCCCTAACAGTTATTCTATTTTTAAAAACCCATACACTAGAGGAAAACCGTACTTTCCAGCAAGCTTTGTGATCTCTTTCAAACTAATAAAAGTCTAATTTTGGCACTGGGTTTGGTGCAACAAGGAATACAACCAAAGGATTTATGGCACTAAACAGGAGGAAGCATTATTCTTCCAGAGGGAATGGAGCAAGAGAAATGTCTTAAAAGAATAGTTGGACAGATAATATATTTTTTTTCTTTCCAAGAAAAGGACCAGTGTGTTGAATTTAGCGGCATCTAGAGGTGTAGTTGCAGATTGTAACCAACTGAATACTGCTCGCATTTTGAGCACGTAGTAGAAACTACGGTGGCCGCAAAAATGTGAAAGGCCCTATCTAGTGTTTGTCCGTTCTGGGATAGTGTAGAAGCATGGCGGTTCAACATTGCGGACTGCGTAGAAGAAGACTGTAGATAAAAATGGCTCATTCTAGGGTAACAAAAACATATATGAATATTATATTTCATTAACTGCCAATATATCCTCCTAGATGTTACAGACTGGACCTTTAAGTATGTAGCTGGAGCAAAGAGCCGGTTAGCACAGTTTAGCACAAAGACTGGAAACTGGGGGAAACAGCTGGCAGTAAAACCAAAATTGTACGTTTTTACACTAGTTTTTGAACATATTAAGCAAACAAGATAGAACATGTTAATTGGTGAGCTTTAGAAACATTGTTAGGTGGATTTTGTTACCTTTGGAAAGGGCAAGGCTAGCTGTTTCCAGTCTCTGTGCTAAGCTAAGCTAAGCTAACCAACTGCTGGCTATAGCCTTATATTCATGGGACAGATGGGGAATGGTATCGGTCTTCTCATCTCACTCTCTGCAAGAAAACAAATATTCTAGTCTACTTTAATGGGAAATACAAGAACTAAAGGTGATTTATTCTATGACTCAACAAATGTGTCCTCCAGGATGGATTTTCAGAAAAATCTGCAAATGAATACAATGCTTTGTACCAGATGACTTGGAAGACACAGATTGCTGATTTTCCCATCAGCAGATGAGTGCAGCATTATTGTTATTACTAAACACGAGAAACAGTAGAATCCTCAACACGAATTTGGCAACAATTATTTGCTTCTGCCCTCTTTTCTATCAATGCATGTAATGTTGTTGATTTATGAATCAGGAGTTTTATTCTTGTGTTAGCAGATAATAAGTAGATATTAAATTCACTGCCCATTAAACTGAGCCCTATACATGCATGAGAGGATACAATCTTTCAAATAAACATTATAAACGATCTTATTCTTTTCATTTTTAATGAATCATCACGACCAACTGCAGAACAACTTTGACTTATGATAGTGTCTGTCAGTAATATTAAAGGTTTTCTTCTATTTTTATGTTAGTGTTATTGATGATGATAGGTAGTATTTTTAATTAATCAATATCACTTTTAATACATTTAATTGAAATTTCTATCTTGTTTTTTATTAATTTTTTTCCCCCTTTTAATTAATGGGAGTGTTTGTTGTTTATTAAATTATCAGTTTGCTGTCCAGTTGTTGTCGCCTATAGATGATTACTTTGTTGTTGTCTGGACGTGATTACACAGTTGCCTTAAGAGTGGACACCTGTTGCTCATGAGATATGCATAAAATAAAGATATTTGTTGTTGTTTGCATGATGATTACCTCACCATTCCTCATCCACACCAAAAACATCAAAGTCTGCAAAAATAACCCCCTATGATGTCTACAGTTCAAATTCAGGATTTGGAAGGAAATAAATATGCCTAGTGAGTGGCATTGTGGGAAATGTATGTTTCAGTATTGTTTTGAGCTTGACTCTAGGGAGTCTGGATACTTCTGCTTCTACTGCACAGATCATTTGGTTATCTGTCTCTTAAGAGTCTATCAACTTTATGGACATGCACTACTAAATTGCCCAAGTGCCCCTAAATAACATTTTGAATGCATGACTTTTTCTTGAAATTGAATATTTTTAAGTGAGCAAAGGCTATCATGGATTATTTCCCATACTGATGCAAATGACACCTGTAGAGAGACACAGCCACACAGAGAAGAAGGAGAGGTTGGAGGGAGAGTAATGAAGTAAATCATTTATTTTAGTAGAAGTAGAAAGTCAACAATGTAAAAATACTAAATTAAAAGTAAACCTGCACATTTAAAATATTACTGTAGTAGGGTTAGGGTTAAAGCACATAAGTATTCCCAGCAAAATGTACTACAAGTGCAGCTTTTCTGAACTGGAGCCACTGTGGCAAATACAGGATAATGATAACTGAGTGAGGGTACATTTTATAGCTCATGTATTCAACTTGTAAATCAGTGTTATAGATGCAGTGTTAAAGCTGCAGTAGGTAACTTTTATAAAAATAACTTTATGTCATATTTGCTGAAATTTTCTATGTGTTCTGACAGTAGTATATGAGACAGATAATCTGTGAAAAAATCAGCTTCCTCCAGCTTGTTCTAGCAGTCCTTATGGAATTTGCAAGAATCCACCAGGCCTGAACAAAATCCACCAGGCCTGAACAAAAACAACCAGGCAGAGCCGAGAGATATAAGACACTTTGTGTTGGAGGCTTGAAGTTGATTGTTGAGTGTCATTCCCAGGATCCCAAAGCGTCTGTATTTGACGCCCTGGGAATGAGACTAAACAACCAACTATCTTTCTTGGCTCTGATTGGTTGTTTTTGTTCAGGCCCGGTGGATTCTTGCTAATTCCGTTAGGACTGCTAGAATGAGCCAAAGGAACCAGATTTTTTTCACAGATTATGTGTCTC